AGAACAACTTATATATATATACCAAAAATAAGGTTAACTACTATGAAGGGATAGAATATGACTCTAAAAATGAAAAATAAAAAATGTTTTTTAAAAAAGGAATTGGTAAGATATTGGTTGAAAAGGGAAAAAGAAAAATTCAAAAAGAAAAAGAAAAAGGAAAAAAGAAAATTTAAAAAATTAACTTCGAAAGACTAAGGATTCCTGGGAAAAAACCATGAATTCTTATTTTTTTTTTTTTAAAGCCATTAATTCTATGTGCAGTATTCCCCTAGTGCTGGAGTTCTGCCTTTCTCATTGATGGGTAAACTTGGTCTTGGCTGGCTGTTCTTGCTGATCTTCTGGGGGAGGGGCCTGTTGCCGTGGTTCTCAAATGTCTTTGCCAGAGGCGGAATTGCCCCAACCTTGCTGGGTCCCAACTAAGTAATCTGCTTGGGTTTGCTCTCTGGAGCTTTTGTTCCCTCAAGCTTTCCATACCACTTTGGAGGAGGATAGTGAAAATGGCCGCCTCCCCATCTCCACCCCGGAGGAACTGAGAACTTGGGGCCCCACTCCTCAGTGAGCCCCCAGAGAAAAGCGGTCAATCACTCCCTTCTCCCTGGTCTCTGGCCGCACTCCATGCTCACCTGGCCTGTGACCAAGGGTTTCTATCTCTGGCACATGACCCCATGTGGAGTCTCCAAACTCAGCTGATTCCTGCTATGTGCTCCCACGCCCCTCCTCCCGCCCGTCCTCCCTGGGGGAGGAAGGGAGTCTCCCTGGATCTGTTGCTTCTTGGGTCCCTCCTGGAGGAGCAGTGGCCTGACTGTGCTGCCGATCACAGTTCATGGCAACCCCGAGCTGAGAGCCCACTCCTCAGCTCCGTCTTTGCAGCCAGCTTCCCTGCTCCGATACCTGGGGGTTTTGCCACATTCAGGCACCCCCAGTCTTTCTGTGACCCCAAGGGTCCTGAGACCACACTGTCCCAGCAAGGGTTCCACCCCCCACTTAGCCACTGGAGCGATGTCCCTCAGTGGAGCTGACTTCTAAAGTTCTGATTTTGTGCTCTGTTGCTCTATCACTTGCTGGTAGCGGCTGTCGGAGGCCCCCTCACCGCCATCTATCCTCCCAAATATCGCCTCGGATTCACTTCTCCACATGTCCTACCTTCCAGAAAGTGGTCGATTTTCTGTTCAGAGAATTGTTGCTATTCTTTTCTTCCATCTCCTGTTGAGTTCGTAGGTGTTCAGAATGGTTTGATCCCTATCCAGCTGCATTCCTGGGACCAGACGAAATCCAGGTCTCCTACTCCTCCACCATCTTGCTCCTCCCCCTGATTTAATTCTTAATATGGACCTGAAGGCCATGAGGGTTGGTGAGACAAATCACCTAGGTATTGTCATCAAAAGTTATTTTTGATGGGGCTCTGTCATATTGTTTAGAGGGAGGCTTCCTATGCTGGAAAGGGAAATCCAAGTTTATTTGTCCATGTCACTCCCAATTGTTTCCTTCCCAAGTTTCATATTCTAACTCCTTCCCTATCAGATCTGGTAGATTTGAGGATTAAGTTAGTGCTATAGCCCTACAGTCCTTATGCTTTTGGTGCATGGTCCTCAATCATGTCAATCCAACCAATATAGGAGATGAGGAGTTACTACATTGCTGCTGCAGAGGCTTACTAACTGCCTATTTGCATTCTCAGTTGCTCAGTCACAGCTTTTCCTTTATATTTCTCATAATATGTATCCTCTAGTGCTATCATAACAATCCAGTTGAACTCTAAATTTTTATTAGAGCTTGTCATTAAAACAGTGAAGTGCCTTAATCTTCCTCACAACCTGCCCTCACCTGTACCTTATTCAATGCCAGACTTGGTAGTAACTGGAGAAATCATGATGTTATTGCATATCATGAATTACCAGTGTCACATTTTTCCTTGGCAAGGAAGTTATCTCTGCACTTGTTAAATATGTAAACGGCATTATACAAGAATGCTACCTTGGATGTCTTTCTGTTGTTTCTCCTGATATGAGTTACTGAGTCATGGAGAATCCTGTTAGGAAGCTGATAGCACACTTAAACTGAGTAATCTGGTTACATGGCCACTTTCTGTGCTGGGAAGCAGAATATCATGTGGACTATTCTAAATGAATACCAGAGCTATTGTAAGAAATTGGGTAAATTGAAGATCATATTCTATATAACCAAAAAATATAATGAAAAACAGCCCTTTTATATAGTTACGATAGCTACTTAAGAATTATATTAGGTATTCTGTTGTTAAATCATGATAAAGATTGGCATAGATTCAATTTGCTTTTAATATCTCAATAAAATTTCATAGGAAGAACTTTAGCTTTTCACCTGTCCAAGGAGCTGTATTTTCTAAAGTATTTGGTAAAATGATAAGTATGTTCAAAATTAGAAAATTATTACTTTTTATCACCTTTCAATGACTTGTCTTTCATTTGAATTTTTGTTTTTGTTAATGTAGTACCCCAAGGAGATAACTTTGGAGGCATTTTCCATTATTGTTACGCAGATGCTCGGACTCAGTCTGGGATTATCATATGATGACACAAAGAAATGTCGCTGTTCCGGAGCCATTTGTATAATGAATCCAGAAGCTATGTAAGTTTATTTAAAAGTAAGATTTATTGGTTATGTTTATTTTGTTTTAAATATTTGAAGTGCAAAATTTAGTGTTTACTTACAGTACCAATTAGCTGTAAATGGACCAAGACTACAAAATATAAACCTGAAATTTTAAGTGTAAGAGAGTTGGAAAGAGGTGTATCATTAAGAACAAAGATAACAAATCTAATTTCAAAGATACATTAGCAAGGGAATGAGACTGTATTTTATGAAATCTCATAGTGAGGATTGTTAAAAATATGTCAGAATAGGGTGGCAGGATGGATAGAAGAACAAGACCCATCTGTATGCTGCCTACAACAGAAAAAACACAAACTGAAAGTGAAGGTTTGGAGAGAGATATTACATGCAAATGGAAGCAAAAAGAATCTGGAGTAGCAATAGCTATATCAGACAAAATAGACTTTATTTTTTTTTAAGGCAACAGAAGTATTTATTACAGGAAATGTCAGAACTTTGCTTCATTACAAATAATTTGTTTTTAATATTTTGATTTTGATTCATTTTTTTTTTTTAACATTTTAGGTAGTTAACATACACTGCAATATTGGTTTCTGGAGTAGAATTCAGTGATTTATCACTTACATACAATACCCAATGCTTATCATAACAAGTGTTCTCCTTAATACCAATCACCTATCTAACCCATCCCCCACCCACCTCCCTCCATCACCCTTCAGTTTGTTCTCTGTTGTTTAGAGTCTCTTACAGCTTGTTTCCCTCTCTCCTTTTTTTCTTTCCCCCCTTCCCATATGTTCATCTGTTTTCTTTGTAAATTCAACATATGTATGAGGTCATAGGGTATTTGTATTTCTCTGGCTGACTTATTTCACTTAGCATTATACACTCTAGCTCCATCCAAGTCATTGCAAATGGCAAGATTACATCCTTTTTGATGGCTGAGTAATATTCCATTGTGTGTATATATATACACCACATCTTTATCCATTCATCAGTTGATGGACATTTGGGCTTTCTCCATAATTTGGCTATTGTTGATAATGCTGCTATAAATTTTGGGGTGCATGTATCCCTTTGAATCACTATTTTTGTATCATTTGGATAAATACCTAGAAGTGCAATTGCTGGGTCATAGGGTAGGTCTATTTTCAACTTTTTGAGGAACCTCTATCCTGTTTTCCAGAGCCGCTGCACCAGTTTACATTCCCACCAGAAGTGTAAGAGGGTTCCTCTTTCTCTGCATCCTGGCCAACACTTGTGGTTTTAGCCATCCTGACAGGTTTGAGATGGTATCTCATCATGGTTTTGATTTGTATTTCCAAAATGATGAGTGGTGTTGAGCATTTTTTTATCTGTTAGCCATCTGGATGTCTTTTTTGGAACAGTGTCTGTTCGTGTCTTCTGTCCATTTCTTAGCTGGGTTATTTATTTTTTAGGTGTTGACTTTGATAAGTAAAGTCTTTATAGATTTTGGATGCTAACCCTTTATCAGATATGTCATTTGCAGATATCTTCTCCCATTCCATATGCTGCCTTTTAGTTTTGTTGATTGTTTGCTTTGTTGTGCAGAAGGTTTTTATCTTGATGAAGTCCCAGTAGTTCATTTTTGGTTTTGTTTCCTTTGCCTGTGGTGAGTGTCTAGTAAGAAGTTGCTACTGCCTAAATCAACGACATTTCTGCCTGTGTTCTCCTGTAGGATTTTCATTATGGTTTCATGTCTCACATTAAGGTCTTTCATCCATTTTGAATTTATTTTTGTGTATGGTGTAGGAAAGTAGTCCAGTTTCATTCTTCTGCATGTTGTTGTCCAGTTTTCCCAACACCATTTCTTGAAGAGACTGTCTTTTTTCTATTGGATGTTCTTTCCCGCTTTGTCGAATATTAGTTAACCATATAGTTTTTGGTCCATTTCTGGGTTCTCTATTCTGTTCCATTCATCTGTGTGTCTGTTTTTATGCCAGTACCATAATGTCCTGATGACTGTAGCTTTATAATATAGCTTGAAATCTGAAATCATGATGCCTCCAGTTTTGTTTTCTTTTTCAGAATTGCTTTGGCTATTTGGGGTCTTTTGTAGTTCCATACAAATTTCAAGATTGTTCTATTTCTGTGAAAAATGCTGGTGGTATTTTGATAGCGATTGCATTAAATGTGTAGATTGCTTTGGGTAGTATAGACATTTTAACAATGTTTGTTCTTCTAATCCATGGTTATTGAATGTTTTTCCATTTCTTTGTGTCTTCCTCAATTTCTTTCATAAGTGTTCAATAGTTTTGAGAGTAGAGATCTTCTTATACTTCTTTTTTTAAAAAAGGTTTATTTATCTATTTATTTGAGAGAGAAAGAGAGAGATCACGTGTGGGGAGAGATGTAGAGGGAGAGAATCTTCAAGCAGACTCCCCGATGAGCACAGAGCCTGATGTGGGGCTGGATCTAACAACCCATAAGATCATGACTTGAGCCAAAACCAAGAGTCGGATGCTTAACCAACTGAGCCACCCACATACCCCTAGGTCTTTTACTTCTTTAGTTAGATTTATTCCTAGGTGTCTTATTGTTTTTGGTGTAACAACAAACGGGATGTGTTCCTTGATTTCTCTTCCTGCTGCTTCATTATTGGTGTATAGAAATGTAATAGATTTCTGCACATTGATTTTATATCCTGCGATTTTGCTGAATTCATGTATGGGTTCTAGTAATTTTATGGTGGCATCTTTTGTGTTTTCTACATAGAGTACCATGTCATCTGTGAGTAGTGAAAGTTTGACTTCTTCCTTGTCAATTTGGATGCCTTTTCTTCTTTTTGTTGTATGATTGCTGTGGTTAAGATTTTCAGTTCTATGTTAAATAGTAATGGTAAAAGTGAACATCCTTGTCTTGTTCCTGACTGTAGGGGAAAGGCTCTCAGTTTTTCCCCATTGAGGATAATATTAACCAATATTAATTGGTTTTTCATATATTGCATTTATGATGTTGAGGTATGTTCCATCTATCCCTACTTTGTTGAGGATTTTTATCATGAAAGGATGCTGTATTTTTTCAAATGCTTTTTCTGCATCTATTGAGAGCATCATATGGTTCTTATCCTTTCTTATATTAATGTGGTGTATCACATTGATTGATTTGTGGGTGTCAAACCACCCCTGCAGCCCAGGAAAAAAATCCCACTTGGTCATGGTGAATAATCCTTTTCATGTAATGTTGAATTCGATTTGCTAGTATTTTATTGAGAACTTTTGCATCTATATTCGTCAAGGTTATTGGCCTGTAATTCTCTTTTTTAGCGGGATCTTTGTCTAGTTTTGGAATCAAGGTAATGCAGGCTTTGTAGAATGAGTTTGGAAGTTTTCCTTCCACTTCTATTTTTTGGAACAGTTTCAGAAGAGTAGTATTAACTCTTCACATGTCTGGTAGAATTCCCCTGGAAAGCCATCTGGGAAGGACTTTTGTTTGTTGGCAGATTTTTGATTACTGGTTCAATTTATTTGCTGGTTTTGGGTCTCTTCAAATTTTTTATTTCTTCCTGTTTCAGTTTTGGGAATCTGTAAGTTTCTATGAATTTGTCCGTTGCTTCCAGGTTGCCCAGTTTGTTGGCATATAATTTTTTATGGTTTTCTCTTTCGATTGTTTTTATCTCTGCAGTGTTGGTCGTGATCCTTCCTCTTTCATTCATGATTTTGTTTATTTGGGTCCTTTCTCTTTTCTGTTTGATAAGTCTGGCTGGGGGTTTAACAATCTTGTTAATTCTTTCAAAGAACCAGCTCCTGGTTTTGTTGATCTACTGTTTTTCTGTGTTCTATATCATTGATTTCTGCTCTAATCTTTGTTATTTCCTCTCTCCTGCTGGATTTAGGCTTTATTTTCTCTTTCTTTTCTAGCCCTTGTAGGTGTAAATTTAGGTTGTGTGTTTGAGACTTCTCTTGCATCTTGAGGAAGGCCTGCATTACTATATACTTCCCTCTTAGGACCACCTTTGGTGCATCCCAAAGGTTTTAGACTGTCATGTTTTCATTTTCATTTGCTTCCATGTATTTTTAAAGTACTTCTTTAATTTCCTGGTTGACCCATTTATTCTTTAGTAGGATGTTCTTTAACCTCCATGCATTTGTGATCCTTCCACATTTTTTCTTGTGGTTGACTTCAAGTTTCATAGCACTGTGGTCTGAAAATATGCATGGTATGATCTTAATCTTTATGTACTTTTTTTTTTTAAAAGATTTTATTTATTTATTTGTCAGAGAGAGAGAAAGCACAGCAGGGGGAGCGGCAGGCAGAGGGAAAGGGAGAAGCAGACTCCCCGCCAAGCAAGGAGCCCGAAGTGGGGCTCGATCCCAGGACACCAGGATCGTGACCCGAGCTGAAGGCAGACGTTTAACTGACTGAGCCACCCAGGCATCCCTCAATCTTTTTGTACTTGTTCAGGGCTGATTTGTCACCCAGTGTGTAATCTATTCTGGAGAATGTTCCATGTGCACTCAAAAAGAATGTGTATTCTGCTGCTTTAGGATGAAATGCTCTGAATATATCTGTTAAGTCCATCTGGTTCAGTGAGTCATTTAAAGCCCTTGTTTCCTTTTTTTGTTTTTTAATAGTGCTCCTTTTTCTTTCTATTTTTTTTTATTAACCTATAATGTATTATTTGTTTCAGAGGTACAGGTCTGTGATTCATCAGTCTTCACAATTCGCAGCGCTCACCATAGTACCTACCCTCCCCAATGTCCATCACCAGCCACCCCATCCCTCACAGCCCCCCTCCACTCCAGCAACCCTCAGTTTGTTTTCTGAGATTAACAGTCTCTTATGGTTTGTCTTCCTCTCTGGTTTCGTCTTGTTTCACTTTTCCCTCCCTTCCCCTATGATCCTCTATCTTGTTTCTGAAATTCCTCATATCAGTGAGATCATATGATACTTGTCTTTCTCTGACTGACTTATTTCGCTTAGCATAATACCCTCTAGTTCCGTCCACATCGTTGCAAATGGCAAGATTTCATTTTTTTGATGGCTGCCTAATATTC